GGTCAGCTAAGTTTTAAAGTGATAAAGTAATGTTTTGAATTAAACAGATATGGAAAGTTCCTGTCAGGCTCTTTATAAGAGCCTACAGTCAGATTGTGATGCCCACCCGTTATGAAAGATGCCATCACGACTGCCCTCCACGCAGCCATGAATCATTTGGAGTATTCTGGGATCTCAGTCGGGATGTGTTTCATTACTTTATGAAAAGCTTATAGACCTGAACTTTCCCCCTCGCACGTCTGTCTGGAACACCAACGTTCTCTCAGACCGCCGACCAGCCGTGAAGGTGGGCTCCCTGTGCTCCCCCCACCGTGACGCTCTGCACAGTCCTTTCCTGTACGCCCTGTATATTTATGTTCCTCTCTATTAACACGGCTAATAAATTTACAGACCCCACAGTGGCAGGACTTAATACAGAAGAGGATGAGACGGCATACAGGTGGAGGTCCAGAAGCTGTGGAGCGGTGCTCCAAGAACATATCATGTTGACCCACATAATCATTTCCTCTAAGTGCGTTTTCATGAATTCGATCATGTCCCACCTGAGTTTTTCTGGTTAGTGATAGGCTTGCCCTCTGTGGGGATGGAGTGCTGGAAGATGTGCACAGTATCCTGGACGGTCTGTCGGTGCAGACAAACCTCCAACGGGTCGATGCAGGTGGAAACATTCTGGGCCAACAGGTACCTTGGCTCGGACCGCAGCCGCTTAGCAAAGGCGGTTACCTTTTCCTGACTCAGACCTATAAAACAAAAAAGTACAAAGATCTCAACAAGACAGTTACAAAAGAAAGATGAAAGGCAAAGTAAAACAGACGGCAATGCATTTCCTTTGTTCATAATTCCCATGACTCATCTGTGCACTTCAGGCCAAGACGCTTCCCATTTGAGATTTGACTTACGAGCACTCCCGTCCTCAGGCGTCACTGTGCTTTGTGCTTTTCTGGAAAACGCCAGATCAATAGTTGTAAGCCAACACCTCTTCCTTTACTTTAACCATCTCGTGCATCACAATTTCAACCATCAAAAAGCAGGTGATAACATAAAAACAAAACAAAACAATCCAGCTTCTTAAAACGTTATTTAAAGAGGAGCTATGGCAGAGAATAAATATCTTATTGGAGGAGGAGCAGTAACGAAGGACAGATCATCGAGAACAAACACTGAAAGAGGGTAAATCACAGTTGGCTGTTAAGACTGATTTGGCTCCATCTGTGAGGGGGAACAYGCTGGAAAAGTTTGTTGGTCCTGCTGAATAAAAGCACACAGGGTAGGKTTGGGCAATATTGCCAAAAAAATTAATCACGATTAATTGTGGTATTTAGGCCAGTGTTTCCCAAAGTTGGGGTCGGGACCCAATGTGGGGTCCCAAAACATCAAGGTGGGGTCCTGAAAA